GCGGGTGCTCAGCTTATAGTTCAATAGAGCTTCAAAATATAAGCCATACACACAAATGTATTGATATATATATATATATATATATATATATATATATATATATTAATAAATCAAATGGATTATCAACACAATTTCAACAACTGCAAAGCTGCCGCCCAATTAAAAAAGGAGTTATAAATCTATTAAATTATTGCACTTTTATGCAATATGCAAATAATAACTTTTTTTTGCTCAAATAAAAAAGTTCTATAAAGCATGCACTTATGCTGAAAATTAAATAAACAATTAATATAACAAAATATTTTGCCTTTTTAATGTGTATTTTGCGGTCAGGACAATCGCTAGTTGTTGTTTTTGTTGCCGTCGTCCTTGAGAAATTGTTCGTAATTAATGGAACAACCAGGCTACAGGCCTGACCTTTGGCCTTTGTTAAGTTGTGTGTGCCTCGTTTTCTTGAGCAGACACACAGAAAGTGTGCCACTTTTTCTCCTCCTCCTTCAGCCCCAATCTCTCTACACCCCACACGAAATTTGTAGCTTGTGCTTTGTTTGCGGGGCGCATGAAATTAATTTACGAGGTGAAACTTGTTTGCGCCGAGAACCCTTTTGCGCTCCGTCAGCCGCCGAGTCCATTGAAGCATTTAAATTGCTGTCAACAAAAAGGCAAACAAATAAATAAATGCCAATAGCAGCAACTGCCCAGACCGAGGGCTTTTTGGCCATCAAATGACCCATGGCAACCAGGACGAAACGTGCGCGTCGACCAAATGATTAACACGTCCTATGCGAGCTGCAGCTGTTGCTGCCGCTCCTAAGCTGGTCTCGAGATAACTCGAAAATATGCACAGCATGGACCGCAGCTCCATGTGGGACGCAGTCAGGCGCTTTAATTATCATAGTTTACCAGGGTAAGTGGAGCAGGCCACGGAGATTTCGGAGCAGAACGCAAGCAAATCAGATAGAAATCCTCAACTGAAGGCACGCGCCACAAAATGCTGATGACGTTCTCGTTTCCACTTCCATTCCCATTCCCGTGGCCATTGACGTTGTCGCTGACGTGGCAGGCACACAAATGACACACAATCAGCCGAAGGAAACCGGAGAAAAAAAGAAGCACGCAATAAAATGGGAAAACGTAACACACGAAACACATGAAAATGGCAAAGCACAGGTAACAAGTTTAGTTTCCGGAGGTAGCTCAGTTTAATGCACTTAAAGAAACATTATGATTACTTAGCAATATAACAAAAAATGCAGTTGACCAAGTTTGCTTTACCTTACTGGGAACTCCCTCCCTCAAAAAGCAGAAAAAAAGTGCTTTTAAATAATACCCTACTATGCGATTCTCATGAATGTAAGTTAAGCCTAAACGAGCTTATGATTTTATAATAATTTGTACTGATAATCTAATCCTTGCAAATACCTTACCTCCAGTTCTTCCTCTCGTTCTCTCGCTCTCTGCCAGTATCTTTCCTTCTCTTTCCCCTGCTCTAGTTAAAATATTCAAGTATTCATATAATATTCTTTCTCCTTAAAAAACTGGCATGTTTGAGAACTTATTGAATATATATGTATATATTTTTTATATAAAAACAAACGTGTTAATGCAATTAAGATCTGGTCCCGGGATATCTGCTAGTTGAAAAAAATAAATGAACATTTTTTTATACACACATATTTTTTCGAATTTGTTTGTTGCACTTTCCAGTGTACTACTGCTGACCATGGCTATAAATAGTAGGCCAGCTACTCAATGCATGCAAATGGCCAATAAAGCAAATGGTGGCCAGTTTTTGCCTGTCATCATTTATAATGCATTCAAATGCCGCAGGTACAAAAAACCGATACGAGTTTCAGCTACATCTGTACAGAAGATACAGCCGTATCCAGAGGCTCCGCTCGGCCAAAGGCTGTTGATATGGTAGCTAATCCGTCAGCACTTTGCTGCCAGTTCCACACCCCAATCGATCCCGACAATTGAGTGCCAGGCAGGACGTAATCGCTTGTTTATCCTGTTAAAGGCTTGAGAGCGAAAGGCAAATACTTTTGGCCAACAGCTGCTGCTGCTGGTCGAGTTGCTGGTCAAACGGGGTGACATAATCAAATCAATAATTTATGAGTTCACTTTGCCTTAAGCGGATTTACATGGCCTGCACTTCAGCAGAGTCTGTCAAAAGGGGCTGCGGCTGGGGGCTGGGAAAAGTTTTTGCAACTGGAACTGAAACTGAAACTGATATCAATTAGGTGGAAAGTGATAAGTTGTCGCCTGGGACTGTCAGTTGTTTGTCTGTTTGCCTAATTTGTGCCTGTCAAAACCCATGTGGGATTAGCTGCCGGAAGAGAGGGTGAGTTAGTCAGAAATGGTTGGGGGATGGGGCATTTTGAACTAGCTTAACGACGCGCACACTCCACGCGCTGTGGAAGCCGTTCGGCATGTGGATGATAATGCTCGTGTCTAATGCGACGCAGCGAGGCGTGCAATGTGCGAAAAGGTATGTATGGTGAGCAAGGGCAGTGGCGGGGTTAGGTGCGGCACGGCAACAGCAGCAGAAGCAGCAGCAGCGCGCAACTTAACAGCAACCCTCTAAAAGAAAAGCCGCCCCTGTCACAGTCCGCTGGGGAAATAATTCCAAAGCAAAAACAAAACCAAAGCGAAAAATCACAAAAACTGTCGCGAGCTGCATTGTTGCTCAGTTTTTGCGGCTGGTTTTTCATTTGTCCATCAGCGCAAGAGGCAGCAGCAGCCGCAGCAGAGGACAGCAAGCAGCGACGCAGGCAGCGCTGCTTCTTAGATGAGCAGCAGCAACAGAAGGCAGCAAACGGCGGCAACTTCAGTCAATTGCTTTTGTTTGGCTGCCAAAATTGCTGGAAAGGATTGGGGCAAGAGGCAATTCGGGCGACTTCATAAACGAAACAGTTTCCTTAGATAAACCAAACAGCAGCAGAGCCAGCAGCAGAGACAGCGGCAGAGGCAGCAGCAGAGGCACCCTGTATTTATCCGTAACATTATTTTTGACTAATTTGGCGACCTCGCAGCGCACTTTTTGCGTTTAGTTTTGGTTTTTGAAATGCGTTGCCTCGCACACACACACACACACACACACACACACACATTTACAGATAAAAAGAAATACTCACAGTGCGCTAGGCAACGTCAACATTACCGTTATGATTACAATGACCCCCATGATCCCGGCCAGCATAGTTGCGTCTCCGTCCCCATCTCCATCCCCGTCCTCTTGCCCGTTCCCATCTTCGTCTGTTTGTCATGTCCTTTGTGCAGTCGTCGCTCAGCGGCAAATTTAGCACTGTAAAAGAAATGAAAGGCAGAAGCTGAGGCCAACCAACCAGGCATCCAGGCATCCAGGCATCCAGGCGGGCAACCAACTAACCAGGAATCTGGCCAGGCAGGCATCCAGCCAGGCCTCACTCATGCCTCACTTCATGCCGCCGCTGCTATCTGCTCCTGGACTGCGACTCCTCGGTGGGCCAGCAGTAAAAGGCCCGCAGCTTAAAGTTTGCCTTGCATCACATTTCTGATGCAACGTTGACAGCACATTCAAATATACACAACAGATGCCCCCAACTCTCTCCCGCTTTCTATTTGACAAGCCTGGCACAATGCGGCGTATGATTATTTGGCTGCAAATGTGAGGGTAGTTCTTGGTCGGCTTGTGGTTAGCGCAACCCTTCTTCTCCTTCATGTGCTTCTACTGCCTGGACAGTTTGTTTTCACTTTAAGGAAATGCTGTCCAGGCACACGTAGCAGACGCGAGCAGTGCAAGCGGAAGCGTCGCCATTGAACAGCGACCGGAAGTCGACAATTGACAATTGACAATTGGAATCGCTGCAATCAGTGCTCGCCATTTCGGGTGTTCGTCGAGCATGAGTTAAACTAGGATTAGGTGCATGAGCTGGTGATGAAACTTAAGCACTGCTTAGACAAGCTGTAGCCTCATTCGGGGTGTAGCTGGGGGAGTTGGGGCACATCCAATTTTCGCAGCGTTCTGCTGATTGGCCAAAAAGTGTTGATGGCGCATTTCGCATTTCGTAGGGCAGTTCGTTGTCTGTTTTTCACATTTTCCCGGCAACATTTTTCGCCGACTTTTGGCCCCTCAATTTTGATTAATGGTCAAGCTTTTGGGTGGCGTCATCAACGCAGCCGGCGGCGACTTTTTTATTTGGCAATTATGTTGTTTAGAGCCTGGCACGGTTTTCACACCTCGGAACATTTTTCATACAATTTCCACACTCGCCCAGCCCTGCCGTGGCGCGTCCCTGCAAACGGCCCTTTAAAGTGTGGACTTTGATTTTATGTTTCGGGGCTTGTCACTGACATGCAGCATCATTAATTCTGGCCGAGCGGCCCCTCTCCAGCCCCTCCTGACTGAATCTCAACTGGCTTTGTCATTTTTCAACAGTTTTTGAGATTTTTTGACACTTGACAAGTGTTTCCGACTGCGCCAGAAAGGTGGCTAAAGGTGCAGTCAGCCCCGGGGAGCTTAGCAGCCAATATCTGGCGAAATGTCCTTTCAACAATCTGTCTTCTTCTTTCCGCCTCCACTGCGGCTGAATTTTATGCAGATGAAAGCATTTAAGATGTTGAGCTTTTTACCACACTGAGTCGAATTATGCATACCCTTTCCTGTTTAAAGTTTAAATGACATTATTTTAAATTAATAACACACACTTCTTAATTAAAACTCCCTTGTGAAGGCGGTACATTTACATAGTTTTTGTATATAAAATTCTACAATTTAAATATATTGTTGAATATTTTATTTTTACATTTTGTTAACTCTGACTCAGTATACGAGGCGATGACCATCACATAGTTTAGTTGCTTGACGAAGTGCCACACAAAAAGGTAGAGCATAGAGGATAGTCAATTGCAGACAGCTTTCAGATAAAATGTTGTCGCGTGGATGCACCACGTGCCTTATCAGAGCGCCAGCCACCCAACGCCTGGTAATTAGCCGAGGCAATAAGAACACGAATAGCTCGATTAAATGAGGCGTTAAACTCGATTTCGGTCAGGGCATAAAACAAACGTACATATATTATGTGAATTTAGTTCAGAGTTTGCCGCCCCACACCGAATCGGGAATCCGGGATTCGTGTCTGAAACAAATGAATCCGTTTATACGGGCTTCTTGGCCCCCTGCTCCAGAGCATGCTGCTGCCACTGGGTGCCATCGTGGGGCAGGGGGCTGGGCACAAGCGGCGACAACATGGTCCAGAATAGACGCTTTCCCAACACCAGCTGCAGATTTTGCCAAAAGCCAAAATCGTAGCTACGATCACGTACAAAATACAAACAGCTGCCGCGGCTAATCATGATCAGCTGCAGGATCAGGTGCGAACTGGCCAATATCATGGCGAAAATATTGAGCTTGATAACGCCGCCATTTATGATAAGCCAGGTCAATTTCGAATCGATTGTGGGATCATTGTTGTTGTGACCCGGGAAACTCACGATCCGCAAGCCCATAGATAGACTCAAATAGCCAATGGGATCGCTGAACAAGATCTGGCGCTGGCTCCACAGATGATACACATTGTAGACGAAGGCAATGCCACAGCCCAGGCTAAGATGGAACAACAGGCCGACAAAATAGCGCTGATTGAGATGCCCAACACAATTGGCCGTCACATTGCAATGATGATCCCGCTTCAGCATGCAACAGTTGCAGAGACGGCAGTGCCAGGCTCGTGGCGGCACCAGCATCTGACAGTGGGTGCACAAGTGCCATAGATGCGCCTCTGTTGGCAGCGGATGCTGTCGACACTTGGGCAGTGCCACAAAGCTTGTATCTGTGCGCCAGCACATGATCATGTTGCCCGCAATATTGTGGAGCAGAAAGGCGCAGAGCAGCCAATTGAAATTATAGAATATGCCGGACGTGTCACAAAACTCGGGCAGTATGTAAAACATTTCGTATATAAAAAAGAATCCAACGGCGAGCAACAACAGGGCTGCCGACAGGGGATGAACTATCTGAATTATTCGCACGCGATGCTGCTTGATGAAGCGCCACATGCTCGTCTCCAGGCAGATGATTGAACGGCACACCTGCCTCAGGACTCTCACGGGAATTTTGACCATTGCTGACACAAAAACCAAAAAAGTTAAAATATAGCAGAATAAAACACCACAGTAAGTGCGAGTTAAAAACTTGGTTTAAATGTTTTTGCAAATTATTTGAGCAAGTGCTCGGTTTGCTTGGTTTCTACTGATTTTCTAGGGGTTGCTTTTGTTCCGAGCAGAGTGCTTAATCGCATCAGTCAAATCAAATCTGATGGAAATGAAAATGATATTTATGTTCATTCTTTTGAAAATTATAAGCTGCTTACCCTTGTGCAATTATATTATTTAATCAGATTGGGTATTCGCAAAGGATTATTGCTTGAAAAATTTCAAGGACAGCTCAATTAAAGTCAAAAATTGTCTAACTTTTCATTAATTCCAATTCAAATTCCCAATTCAAAAGATGGGTGTAATAATATAAAATAAATTTCCGAAATCATTAAATACCCTTCTCTAAATAAAACAAAGCAAAATTACAAAGATTTTATAAGTAGTATTTCTTCTATATTATAAACATTTCATATATATAAAATTTCATAGACCCATTTTTAATGGGTTCAGGGTATAAAAAATATATAAGATAAAAGACAATTTTTTGTGGGCCGCATTTGTATCGAATATATCTGTTAAAGTTTCACAGATCAAACAATTTATCCTTAAGCATTTTCTATGTTATTTAAGCTCTAACTGTGCCCTGCGGCTTCTGCAAGTTTTAATCGATTTAATTTATTTAGTTTTAATTTCTCTCAACTAGAGACATTGTGTGAAAAGTGTGCAATGGATTGCCACAACTATATCATAAAGTATTTCTCAAAAAGAAAAACAATTCTTATATCAAATTTCTAATATCACAAAAATAGTTTAAAGCCGCTTAGAAAATAATAGACCACAATGCGTTATATATGTGCACATGCATATTTAAATATGAGTATTTCGAAATTGATATGACAGCTGCATGTTACTTTTATTCTTAGTTTCACTACAACTACACTACATTTCATTTAAAGGGAAAAGAAGCATGCAAAATACATACACACACAGAAATAAAATAAGTTAGCATGCATTGGTTGAGCGTGCTCGACTGGGAGATGCCCTTTAGTAAGAGCTGCAGTCGAAAGAAAAATGCAGAAGTAAAATCATAAAAAGCGTGAGAATATATGGGTTTACGTGAGAATATAATTGGTTAACGGCCGTTTTAATGTTTTTTAGCTGTACGACCCTTATAATTCCCAACAAGTTGATGCTTATAATAGGTGAAAAAGTTTGTTGTTAGTAAAAGCGAGAGGTTATAAATGATGCCAGTTTTATACATATGTTTTTAAAATTGGAACTAGGTCTTTTAATTAGAAATATTGTATTTATAAGCAGTTTATTGTATTGAGAAGTTAGAAAAATAAGTATATTTAAATTAAATCTCTTCGCGACTTCAGTGTGAAGCTCGAAATATTTCTATAATCTATTTTAAATTGTATTCGATTTACTATCTAAAGCAACATAGATTTGTATTTATTTAGAGCCAGGAACTGCCTAACGACAACTCTTTTTTTGTGCACAACACAACACTGACTATATGCCCAACTTGAACATATTTTGTGGTTACAGGGTATATTAAAATATGCAACTTGACGCTTGCTCTCAAACACAAAACAGCAAACAGCTGCCTCGGGCGGGCACTGTAAACGCTGGGGTCAAAGGTGATGGTCGGGTCGGGGCTCGAGGAGGGTTTCGAACTGACAGCGAGCCAACGACAACAAAACAGACACAGATACAAATGCTGTCTATTTCGCATAAATTTTTATGAATTATTAAGTTGAACTAAGCATTCGGAATGCGTAGCACTCGTTGAGCACGCGGTTCGCCATTTGACTTTAACTTTGCGGTGGCCCCAAACCCAACCACGACTCCCGCACGCCCGACGCTTAACTGTGGCTTTCACCTGCTGTCAAAGCAGGTGCGCTTTTGCCTTTTGCATAAAGTATACATTTGCCAAGAGGTTGCTGTTGGGGGCGTGGCATTGCCCACTTGAAGCGTAATGTGTTTGCGCTGTTTGCACACACCGGAAGCAAACAAACAGCCATTTTAGCTGGCGCCTCTCGCGCTGTTATGCCATTTCCGGTCGTTGGAGTGCCTTTGATACTCCACTCCAGATTGAGTGGCGGCAAGTCGCAATGTTTATCAACCTGTGGCATTCCTCAGCCCGACTTTCTGCGCCGCCTACAAGTCATTAATATTCGCGCGACTTTTGTTGGCCAACTTTTTGCATAATTGCAGCGCTTGCTGCTAAATTGGGGAGACTCGGTTGGGCTCTTCTCCTTATTGGTTTTCATTTACCTGTCAGAATGTGAGACGCAAGCATGCCGAAGGTTTTACTTAAGCGGAACTCTACAAAACTCGCCCACACTCTCTGTCTCCCTCTCACTCTCTCTTATTCCCCATTTTCAGGCAATTACCTGGCATGTATTGCCCCCGCGGCGCCAACTGCTGCTCCATGTAATTGAGGTTTGGCAAAAAAATAAATTTGTAAAATTAGATATGAAGCAGCAAACCCAAGTTGGGCTTAGGCATCTTTACTGCGCATGCAGCATACAAATTAATAAATATAAAAAAAAACAAGTAAGAGTTTCTAGTCGGGAGCTCCCGACTAAGGGATGCCCTGAACCCTCTTCTTCCAACATCAAATGCATATATATTCTATTTAAGAAGCTATATGTCAAGTATGGTGACTCTAGCTCTTATTATTTACAAAATTGCCCAAAAAACAGGATATCGATATCGATTTTTATCGATTGCTTGGAAACGGAATAAGTTATCGATTATCGGATATAAACTCGATCTGCGCGGGAACTAGGAGCACCTACATCTCTAGCTCTTATAGGTTCTGAGATCCTTGCGTTCATACATACGGACGGACAGACAGACGGACATGGCTAGATCGACTCGGCTATTGATGCTGATCAAGAATATTATACTTTATGGGGTCGGAAATGCTTCCTTCTGCCTGTTACATACATTTGCATTTCGCACAAATACAATATACCCTATACCCTTTTTTAATGGGTTCAGGGTATAAAAAACAAGTTGGTAAACTCGGAAGTGCTCGACTTGCAAATACCCTATCAAGAGCTTCACAGAAAATTATCTGGATATCTCTGATATATCAGATGTGGAGTATTAAAATATAAATGTATATACGTATAAATTTATTAATATCATCACGCTTATTCATGATGTGTCATGATGAACAAAAGAGTAAGCAGTTCATAGCCAAGCCAAATCTATGCTATGTGCTGCTGTTAGTTTTTTTTATTCCCACAAAGTCTGCACCGAATTAAATTCAAGTGAAATTTGTTGATATACGTACACAGCATGTACTTGCACCCGGGCACTTGCTTTAAGCTTTAGCATCACTTCTTCTTCTTTAGATATTGCTTGAGAAATGTTTTCTTTTATGATACCATGGTGTTCAAAATGAAAGTTTTTAATGCTAAGAACTGAATAATGTTGGCATAATACATTACAACTTTTGCAAGCGTGTGTGCCAATTATTTTAATAGATATGTGTAAGTAGTTTAAGGCAAAATCAAAGTTTTCAACAAACTTGGCCATATACCAAGTTGCATAGCTGTAGCTTCTATGGGCGCTGAGATCAATGGGTATATTAAGAGAAATGTAGGCCAATAAGGGAAACGAAAGCAGACATGCCTGCTGATATCTTAATAGAAGAAATCTAGTGCCTGAAATATGTCTTGTGTTGCCAATAACAAACATAAGCATAGCATTCTTGTGCATACCCAATAGCACTGCCTGCTTACAGGGTATGAGTACACATCTTGTTATATGATCTAAACACATGTCTTCGATTGTCGTTCTGTTCACTGTTATTATGAACACTATTTTGGTCTAAGCCAAATCGAAATGTTGCCCATTTAAAGTGCAGGCAAAGCTGCAGCTTAAAACCTATTATGGGCAAATTTATATTGCAATTTATCTAAGCCTGCGGCAGACATTAATTATGGCCCAGTCGACGCCCACTGCAAGGAGCCAGAGCTAACGCTGCTGCCAGGCACATTTATTTCAGTGCGTCGGCACCTGTACACAATTTATTATTATTAAAGGCGACTGCACCGATTGTTGCGATAGACGAGAGAGATTTTTATGAACCATCAACAAGGGCAATTGGAGGCAGCGTCAACGTTGCGTATGAGCGATTTCTGGCTCAGGCAGCTGCTGCTGCTCATCCAGCCAAATATGTGGGGCATGCTAAATATTTGGCACTTGGCGTACAAAATTACTTGGCATTTGGGCAAAATGAGTTGGAACTTTGCCTGTCTGAACACCTTTTTATTTACTTCGGCTTCCTCTTGTTTCTTGCTTGCTTTCCTGCTGCCTTCTCTTGCGGCATGCAACATATTTTGCTTGTTTCGGCGGCATATTTCCTGTTTTATTTTCAATTTTCTTTTCCATACATTTTTTCATTTTGTTTGTCAATGTTTTGCGCCTTTCGACATGTGTTTGACATCCGCACGGGTAACCGAAATATTTGTAGAGCGGCAAAGGGTGGGACGCGGGCATGAGTGCAATTGATTGATGCCTCCAAATGGGAAGTGTATTAAGGGCATATTTGTGGGTATGCTAACCTTGTAATCAAGTCTGACCGAGAGCTGTAAATAAATTCGATAAATACACAAAGCTCTCTAAGTTTCTCCACTTAATCGAACTTTTTTTGATTAAATATATTATTATGAATTATTTATATTATTATCTAGTTTACTATCGACAAAAATTTAACTGATCAGTACGTTATAATTATGAAATCGAGATAACTCACATCGATTACTTCATTATCGATTTGTCTTCGATCATCGATATGTTATCGTTAGCCAAGTTGTCGATATATTTTCCTTTACAAATGGAACAATCTGTTATCTTTGCATAATTTCACATAGTATCGATTAACTAATATGCGATATGTGATCGATTACATAAGTATCGACTTGTTCTCGATCATTAAGTGGTCGATTTGTTGTCGACAACTATTTGATCGATATGTTATCGTTTCATAATTAAACAATTTATTAAACATTAAGAGTATCAGCTTTCAAGAATAGAGCATATACACCTTTTTGCTGTACTTTTGTTTTCTGTTTGGATTT